CCCCCCCTGCTCCCGGCTGGAGGCAGCTCCGGGGGTCGGCATTGGAAAGCAAGGGCAGAGGAAGGCAAAGTTACCCAGCGTGAATCCATCCTGCTGGATGAGCCAGACCTTGTCCGCTTCGTACCAAACATCCCCCGGAGCCTGTGGGGAGGAGAGAGGGGAACTGTGCAAGGATGGGCAGAAAACTGAGCTGGACAAACTGCACTCGCCCCATGGACAGCAACAATTCCAGCCCTGCCCCTCCTCTGCCCTCCTGCACTTGCCCCCAGCCAGAGTTGAGCCCACAGGAGCTGCATGAAACCAGAAAAGGGCTTCAGTGCCCCGAGACACGGGGATACAGCCCAGCAGGTCTGCAGACACCTTACCTGCTCCTCGTCCATGCTCTCTCCTGGTGCCTCTTTGCTCTCTCCTGGGCCGGGCACGGGGCTCCAGCAGCACCCGGAGCCCACCCTGCTCCCGGCTGGAGGCAGCTCCGGGGGTCGGCATTGGAAAGCAAGGGCAGAGGAAGGCAAAGTTACCCAGCGTGAATCCATCCTGCTGGATGAGCCAGACCTTGTCCGCTTCGTACCAAACATCCCCCGGAGCCTGTGGGGAGGAGAGAGGGGAACTGTGCAAGGATGGGCAGAAAACTGAGCTGGACAAACTGCACTCGCCCCATGGACAGCAACAATTCCAGCCCTGCCCCTCCTCTGCCCTCCTGCACTTGCCCCCAGCCAGAGTTGAGCCCACAGGAGCTGCATGAAACCAGAAAAGGGCTTCAGTGCCCCGAGACACGGGGATACAGCCCAGCAGGTCTGCAGACTGCTCTCTCCTGGTGCCTCTTTGCTCTCTCCTGGTGCCTCTTTGCTCTCTCCTGGTGCCTCTTTACTCTCTTCCATCTTTTCCTTCACCTTTTCCACCACTTTTGCCACATCTTCTGACTTTCCATGGATTCCTCCCGGCTCCTCCTTGGGCCCCTCTGACTTGCTTGTAGTTTTTCCAGGCTTTTTTATTTCCTTCGGCTCCTTCTTGCCACCTCCAATGTCCTTCTTCATCTTCTCAGTCTCTCTCGTGTCTGGCCCTGGCAGTCCCTTTGCTCCCACCTTGGCTGGGTGCTGCTGGTGAATCAGGGATGCCCCTTTCTCCTTCTTGGTGCTCTTGGTGTCCCCCTCCTTCACTGGAACTTTGCTGCAGTGCTGGGGATCCTTGCTGGGTGCAGGAGCTGGAGCTGGGGGGCTGCCCCCTGGGCAGGGGTCCGTGGGTGTCTTCTCTGGGCTTGACACCTTCGCTGCCTTTGAAGCCTCAGGCTGAGGGGTCTCTGCTGGTTTGGGGGCAGCCACTGGTGGGCTGGGGGCAGGGGATGGGGCTTTGCTGGGGATGGTCCCTGGTGCAGCCCTTCCTGGTGGCAGCTCCTTGCGTGGGGGTGCTGGGACCCCCTCCCCCCCCTGCCCTGCAGTGTGCAGCCCGTTCTGCAGCGGCTGGCCCTGGCTGGCCC